GTAGAGCGCTCGCCTTGAGCTGAAGAGCTGAGGGACAGCGCCCAGGCCCAGAGTTCAAGCCCCACGACCGACAAAAAAAAAAAAAAATAGTACCTCCATGGAAGCTGATCTCCTGCTAGCCCAAACTCTACATTGTATTTAAGCATCCCTGGATAATTCTACTTAACCAATCTTAGTCACAGAACCAGCACTAAAGTCTCATGGAAGTAAGTCCATATAAGAATTAAATATTTAAAATATGAAATGTTCTTTATATTAAGTGCCATGTGGGAGCACAGCTGACTCCAAAGACGACACACGCACCTTTAATCAGTACGTGGGCCTGGGCCTTGCTCGGAAAATTTATTCATTCAATGACATATAAGGGGCAATCAGATTTCCTTGGACAGTAAGGATTATTCGCTAATGGAATCTTTATTTATTTATTTAGCCAGTCCTGAGGCTTGAGCTGAAGGCCTGGGCACTGTCCCTGAGCTTCTTTTGCTCAAGGCTAGCTCTCTACCACTTGAGCCACAGTGCCCCTTCTGGCTTCTTCTGATTATGTGGTACTGAGGAATTGAACCTAGGGCCTCATGCATGCCAGGCAAGCCCTCTATCACTAAGCCACATTCCCAGCCCTGGACAATCTATTACACTGGCATTTTCCTCACATTCAAGTGTATTATAATACCATCAATGTTATAATAATTTTGAGTTGTGAAAGCCTTAACAACAGTTGTGTTCTATGGTAGGTTTTTATGAATCAGACCTTAATCTAATTGTATTAGGTGTTTTTGCAACTTAATTCGTTGTGAAGAAGATAACATATTGATACAATAAAAAGAATGTTCCAGCCTGGCACCTATAGTTCATGCCTATAATCCTAGCTACTCAGGAGGCTGAGATCTGAGGATCATGGTAGGAAGCCATCCCCGGCAAAAAAGTCCTCATGAGACTCTTATCTCTAATAAACTACTTAAAAAAGCCAGAAGTGGTGTTGTGGCACTAGTGGTAGAGCGCTAGCCTTGAGCACAAAAAGACTCAGGGACAGCACCCAGACCCTGAGTTCAAGCCCCAGCACTGGCAAAAAAATAAAATAAAAATGTAAACAAATAAATAAAAGGGGAATGGGTCTGCTCCTGGAACTAAAAATTCTGTTTCTTTGTTTGTTTTTGTCAGTGGGGTCTGAACTCTGGGCCTGGACACTGTCCCCCAAATCTTCAAGGCTAGCACTCTACCACTTGAGCTACAGCACCACTTCCAGCTTTTTCTGCTTATGTGGTGCTGAGAAATTGAACCCAGGGCCTCATGCATGCAAGGCAAGCACTCTATCACTGAGCCACCTTCCCAGCCCCTAATCTTAATTATTAATAAATCCTAATAACGTAATTCTAAATCTTTGTATCTATTTCTGCTTATTAATATGTAGTAAAAGAAACTACCTAAGATTCTTTTATGATATTTAGATGGGCAAAAATAAGAAATAAGCTTTAGTTCAGTTTCTCGTCAGGAAAATAAAATCTGATTTAACTTGTTTGGAATATTAGTGAAATTAATGAATGCTTTAATAACTAGTGTTAAAGTTGACCTAATTGTAAACAAAGTATCTGTTTTTACCTACACAATAGCATTGATCAGGTGAACAGTCTGCGGGAGATTCAAGCCCTGAGGCGCCTGAACCCGCACCCCAACATCCTCACACTATACGAAGTAGTTTTGTAAGTATTTTGGAGCTTGAAAAGTGATCTCACTGTAGCAGTTCTCTCCTTAAGGACACTGTGAGGAAGGTGGCTCAGTGGCAGAGCGCTTGCCTTGCATGCCTGAGGCCCTGGGTTCGATTCCTCAGTACCACATAAGCAAAAAGAAAAAAGCCAGAAGTGGCGCTGTGGCTCAAGTGGTAGAGCGCTAGCCTTGAGCTGAAGAGCTGAGGGAC